ACACAGTAGCAATGCCTAGCACTATCATATATATATATATATATATATATATATATATATATATATATATATTAACAATATGTGTAACAAATAAAGGCCAACAGAAAAAAATGTAAAGTATAGTTTTAAAAAGGACATTATGGACTTGATGAACATGTAATGTTGCGGCAGACAGCCTTTACATCATCATATTGATGACTGATTTCCTGTAGTCTAAGCTACAACTGATGAACCTTACATCCCAGCCAACACCAGCATACAGTGTCACCAGCCACAGGACTCACTGTCTGGAGCATTAGAGTAGTGCTGTTTTTCAGTGTAGCCCATCTTATTGATTAATTTTAAAATATTGTATTCATGAACTGGTGAAACTTTATTTACCTTAGTTTGACACATATACAGCACAGAATAATGCTGTACTGCACTTTAATAAAACAAAACTAGATAGCTTACATCCCTGGTCCACCAACGTCCACTACTGTGGCAAACTCTGCTGTGTCACCCTACATTCCAAATAACAGCTATCCATGCAATGATAAGTATATGCTACATACAAAAAGTTAGGCTACTTCACTAGTTATACAATTAGATGGCTGTGTGCATGAATACATACCAGTAATTAAGGATTTATTTGTGACACATTGTAATAGAGCATTTAAAAAAAATCACTAATTCAAAAAATGTTCAGGATTTGGCTTCAATGTCTGCACTTGTTATTGATTTTGCAGTGGATTTAAGGGTTTTTTTTTTTAATTTTTTATTAAATCCAATCCATTTAGACAGCTTGTTTTATTTATTAATGCTTAGCAAAAGAAAGTTAATGCAAAGTTACCCTGCTCATGGACTTAATTATTTATATGTGGGAGAATGTTTGCCATCTAGTGGGGGAAACTCAGAATTCCTGTAAATTGAAGAAGACAAACTTCTTAACGCAAGGAAAAGTTACTTTAAAACAGGTTTTAGTGCAATTGCTGCCTTTCCTTGTACTGCTGTAGTTGTATTGTTTGGTTTGATAGGCATAGAGCTGAAGGAAAGTATAGAAATGTTGAATGGATATAAGGAATTACAAATTAGCCACCAGTAATTAATCAATGTTATCTTAAAGGGTTAATTTCTTACCCCCTCAGTTGTGCAAATATATATATTCGGTTATATCATATTTCTTATATATTTAAAGCGTAACAAAACCCAAAAACTATATATATACTTTTTTCCTTTATTTTCACGTGGTGATCCAGCCAGTAACACAGTTCCAATAGGATGGCTCCTCTATGTATGGAGGAGCAACGGAGACACCCTTGGACAGCAATATTCTCTGGAGAGGATAGTGTTGGAGGAATTAGTGACAAACAGATTAAAGCCTAACACTTTCTAAGCAGTTACAGAAACAGGTTTTATTTTCATTTTGGGATAAAGATTTTAACTAAATGAATAAAAGATGACCTTTGTAGGCACCCCTACCAGTGTTAAATGATTTACCTCAGCCTTTTAACTGTCACTTTTTCTGGACAGCTTGGTCTGTTAAAGAAAATTTAAAAATGACAGACTTACTGGCATGATGAACACATAATAATACTATGTTACGGAGGTACTCACACAAAAAAAAGACTGTTATGTTAATGCTATTGACAGACTGCATCATTCATTTTTTATTTTGCCTTAAATACCACTTTAGTATGGTGGTGGATATGCAGTAATATTTTTGCTATTCAGCTGCCTTTTGTTGGTATTCATTTTGAACATTTGGGGCAGTGATCAAGTATCCTTACCACTAAACATTAAAGTGTAGCTATAACAGGCCTCAAAATTTCCACTCACCTGCTCGCTTTTGATGAGTAGAAATATTGTAGGGGCGAGTGTGTCCCAGGCACCGTTGGCAGCAAAAATAAAGAATACAGGAGGGAAATATTAAGAGAGTCCACCACTTAAGCAGCAGTGATTGCTGTTAACAGTTCTCCTCTCTCTTCCTGCTCTGTAGCTGCAGTGGTGGAGGAGGAGAATAATCGTCTGTCAGCCCACATTACTATTTGGGCATCTCCATGGCCACCTGCAGTTTCCTCTGACTCCCTCAGCTACTATAGTCTATAGGAGGAAGGCTGCAGAGCTGCTATTGGCTGCATTTACAATTTTTAAAGCATGGGACCTGAAGAAGGCACGAGGCTCCTGGAGGCATCGCCTACATAGTACATGGACACAACATCATTGCACCCCCCACCACTACCACCAGAAGGAGAGGAAGAGGGCACCTGAATCAGATGAACTGTGTACTCTAAGTCAATGTTCTTTCTGTGCTTACCTTTGCACTATGAGCCATGGGCATCAAAGGAAGCTCTGCTTTGTTTTCACTTAAAGCCACACTTTCACTTAGAGAAAGTCTCTTGTGTTTGATTGTAAAGATGAAAAAAATGCTCAAAGTTTATAAAAGGTTTAAGCAGTTACACCTAATATTTTGTTTCCCTATTGAGGTAAAGCACTTATTTTCAATTTATGTTTTCATTGCTTTAAGTTAATACTTTTAAAGTTGTTGTTAATATTTATTTTGTTAACTTTATTCTGCATAAAACATTTAACAGTGTAATTTTATGAGATGATTTGCGAGGGCGTGTTTAGGGGTGGAATGAGGAAGGGAGAATGTCACCAGCACACCGAGGATAACCAATATGGGTCCAAAAGTTTTAATGAACGATCACATAGTTACAGCAAGGCAACATTTCGGTCACATGGTCACATGCCTGATGAAGGGGTCCTGCGAGACTCTGAAATGTTGCCTTGCTGTAACTATGTGATCGTTCATTAAAACTTTTGGACCCATATTGGTGATCCTCAGTGTACTGGTGACATTCTCCCTTGCTTATTCTGTTTGGTTCTAGCCGACAGTCGCTGCAGCACCCACTTATACACACAGCCATTTTTAATGCAGGAACGTGTGCGTTTGGATTGTACACTTGCATTAGGGGCGGAATAAGGGGCGGGGCAGGGAATGGGTAGGGGTAGGGGCAACTGTGGCGAGTAACTCTTAAGGCCTGGCTAGTAGCTCAGGACTTGAAATTTTGAGCCCTGGCTATAACCTATGCAAGTCTATAAGTCTATGCAAAATTAGCCATTATAATTTTGTTAGATGTTTGGACAAAAAGCTAGAATGCATTGAAGATCTATTAATATGCTTCCATGCTCATGGTGCCTGTATTACCCATTAAAAGGAAGGTTTCCCAAATGGAAAGAACACTTTTACTTATTCTACTAATTTATACAAAAGCGACAAATTGTACAGAGCACATAAACCATTCACATCACCTCCTACTTCACAGGATGTCAAATGTCAGGATGTCAAATGTCTCTAGCACAAGTTGTAGAGTTACACACAAAAGAGGGCAAATTTGGTTGAGATTCAGTCAGTCTGCCTGCATGTTTATGAATTTCGGTAAGAAACTGGGGTGTGTGGAGAAAAACCATACAAACTCCATGCATTATGCAGTAGAGAACAAAAACAAAGCGCACCAACCTTGCGCATTACCTCAATAAACAATTAGCGGATTTATTTACTTAAGATATATACTCACAAAAGTAGCAATATAACAGGCATATATAATCCAAAAATAAATCATACGATTCATTTTTCATTCATTCTGCTACCACTATGTTTAATCCACAGGAGCAAAAGGAGACATGTGCGAATCTTATTGGAAGGGGAGACTCTCAGGGTAAAAATTACGCATTTCGAAGGGGGATCCCTTCTTCATCAGAGCTTCAGTGTCCTTGAATTATGCCCCTGGTGTGGATTGAAACCCTATGTTATAATGTCACAGTGTTAATTAATAAACAACCATACCTAATTATCAATCAGCTTAGCCACTGATGATTACCTATTACACCACAAACATCATCAAATATATAAGAATAAATTGCATATGAATCAATAAGAAAACATAAGGTTGCTGAGTGCACCATGAAGTGGTTTCACTCCACCCCTCTTTATGTAATAATGCATCAAAAGAAGCTGCACAACCCACAAACCTTCACTATAAAGTAATAATAAAGTCCAAAACATACAGTAACATCCAAAGTTGTAAAATCTTCCATCAAATTATCCACATATTCCAATATGTCCATGCACCAATATCTTCTATAACTGATCACCCATGCCATAAACTGTTCACAGGAGGTGATCATAGAAGGGATTGCTGTGAACATATAAGCATTTATTTTTATATTTTCTGTATTTAGCTCCTTTGTGAAGCAATCTACTGAACAATTAGTTTCTGTGAACTACTATCACACAAATTTACAGCTCTTATCCCTGGTTCACACTGAATATGACTTTGAAATTGTGTGACTTCACTTGATGTTGCACAATTTCAAAGTCTCATGTCAGTACGACTTGTGAGACATCTGTGCAACTTTATACGCAGATGTCAAAGCAAGTCACACCAGAAATTGGCAAAAGTAGTGCAGGAACTACTTTGCAAATCGGTGCAACTCCAACAAAGTCCAAGTCATACTGATTAGAACGGTTCCATTGCTGATCATAGGGTGCGACCTGTCATGCAATTTGAAAATCAAATCGCATGACAAGTCGAATCAGTGTCAACGAGGGCTTACGGTAAGTAATTCTTTCCCTATGTGGAGGTTTAACCTTTTTTCATTTAGTCACAAGGAGTGCTCTCATAATTATTTTGTTTTGTACATGGATGTTCTAATTATTTATATAAGCAGATCATATGTATGTAGGTTAGCTTATAAGTTGAAGATATCTTTTATAACATAAAAATACAATATAAAGAAGTCTCTAAAAAAATCATATCAGCAGTATCCTGCAAAAGGAATGTCATTATATACTCTCTGGTAGCATACATCTCCTACCTCTCCCCATTCCAGCACTACATCCTCCTTCAGTGTCTTTCACATTTGACACTTCCACAAGTTTTAGATGTCTGTATGTCTGGGGCTCCTTTTGCCAGCAGCTCTGTTGGTACAGGACTCAGTAGTGATGTAAGGGTCAGAAGCAGGGGCGGACTGACCATTAGAGCACTCAGGCACTGCCCGAGGGCCTGGGGTCAGTAGGGGGCCCCATGAGATGCCCCTGGTACCTTTCATTGGCTTTTTCATAGGTTTTTTGGGTGTGGGCGAGGACATAGGGGCCCCATGATGCCCTATTGCCTGGGGGCCCATGAGTTGTCAGTCCGCCCCTGGTAAGAAGATAAAACCATTGTGGGACACAGGTATCTGACACACCCAGAAGTGTTGACTGACAGGTGCACTGACACAGGCTGCAGCACTGACATGGAAAGGAAGGAGATACAAACAGTTAGAGAGGTATGTGTAATGGCTCTTCTTTTTGAAAGTGCACCTTTTTGTAGAGACTGACAGAGACTCTTTAAAGAGTAGTCGCTCCAAAACTCAACCATGGGGAGCCACATTTGCTGTGTGCCAATTCCTGGTTACCAAGTAGTTGTTAAACAGTTTTTAAAAAATAGAAACAATGATCAAGAAATAATTGCACTGTGAATACATTTAATGTGCCACATTACACACAAAAAAATAACATAGTGCTAATATCTAAACTATGTCTAAACATGTTTTTCACTCCAGTTAGTGGTGATGAATTTGCTTATTTTGTTGTAATGACTCATTTCTTGTAAGCAGAACCATATTGCCACTGATTCATGCATTAAGCTATTAGAGAACATAAAGCTGAGATAAGAGAATGTTTTTATTAACAGGGCTTGAAACATTTCCTTGGTTTTTACATCAAGGAAAATAGTTGGCTGTCTCTCTTGTTTTCTTGAGGGTAAAATGGAAAAATTTAGTTACAGCGCTTGTAGATTTTATGTGCCTAAAGCACAATGCATCTCGTTTGCCAGTTATGAAAGCACTTTAATGAACAGAGCTAGAAGAGCAATAATTTATAAATGTAGGTACAATAAGTCAGGTACATTACAGCTATTTCAGCACAGTTATGTGTTTATAAACCTACATTCAGTTTCAAAGGCAAAGTTGAAGTAACTCTGTGCTTCGCCCATGCATGGCAAAGCAACAGGTTCTCTTTAATGATGGCCCTACCATATTTACTTTCCATTCATTGTGCCACCACTATGTTTAACCCATGGGAGCAAAAAAGAGGGAGACCTCTGTAAGCTCCAAGTCAGGACCCTATCCAAGGCTTAGGAACCTATCCTCACACCCTTGTTGGGTGTCTGACTTGCCAGTCACCAAGTTCCAGCACTGTTGCATAGCAGTAAGCAGAGTGAATTATATGGTAGCCCATACCTGAAAGTATAGAACACTTTTCTTTACTCTCAGCAAAGGTAGAAGAGGGAAGTTAGGAATGTGCTGCTGGTGGTTGCTACGAATAAACCAAAATTGTAATACTAATACAAATTAGTAAATGGCTATAGCAGATGGGATTTGGCTTTATATGTAATGCAGAGACCTGAAAATGAATCCTCAGGGCATAACATCCATATAAATTTTGTACTGGTTAATAATTTTGTCAATTCTCTATTGTTCCCCAATGTCAGGGATAATAATAGAACCTACATCTATGCTATTTTTATGCAACATGACCTATGTCAGATGAAAACAAAATCCTCTAATGGCCAGATAATTTCCTAATAAATGACAATCATCTAATTTTTACAGGTATCTAACACTAAAAAAATGCAGACCCTTGGGGAACTAGTGATTGTGTTAGTAGGGTAATCCCTGTTTCATTGACCACTGGTCTCCAAATAAAAGATTCCTTGCTTGAAAAAAGCCTAAGTGTGTCCTACAAGGCATGGGAAAAAAAGCAGAGAAACAGTCACATCTGTTATACTTTATTTTCACAGAATCTTGGTTATGTGGTTCTTGGAGTGAAAACAAACTGGCCCAAAGAGACAACCACAGGAAAAAAAGAGAGAGTATAGGCAGAGCATTTATAGTGTAGATAAAAGCATAAGACATAAGATCAATCAGCAAAAAAGTAAGTGGTTAATCTCAACAATCAGGGTAGCACAGTCTTAGATCCACTTGAGGGACATCGGGATGGTGTAGTAAAAAAGGTGCAGGTGAAGCAGACCCAAAAGTATCTGGTGTTGAAGAGGAATATAAAGGAAGGAATGTCTCCAACAATGTAGTATTGATAAAGAAAACCTTAATAATAGTAAAAATGATGCATTTTGTAACAACTTGTCCCTTTCTCAGAAAAAAGGTTCGTAACACAAATTCTGACTTTACCAGACCCTGTTGATGACCCCTTGTTTTTCGCCAATACCATTAATATGAGCATTATCTCTGTATCTTTGTTTTAATGCACCTGTTGCTGTTTGTTCTTTGATATTAGTTATTTTTATTACTATTGTTATTTATTATTTTTTGTTTTAATATTTTGCTGGCAGCTGTGGATTTATCTTAAACTTAAGTGGTCACTTTCCCTCTGCTAGATTTATTTCTTATTTGCTATATTTTATGGGTTTCAGAATCTAAGTTACACATCTTTAATTTGAGGAAGTCACAATCTGATTAGTTTAATCAATAAGGTTTTTTCAACATCACTGCTTAGTCCGAGACATTCCTTCTTTTACATTTCCGCAACATCGTAACACACAACTTTTCTATAGGCACTTCTGTAATACCAGGTACTCTTGGACCGGTTTCACTTGCACTCTTTTTATTTTCACAGGTTCTTGTGACCTAAATTCACAGGAATCTGCTTTGTTTACCATTCATGGACTATCTGAAGTTTTGTCCAAGGAAGCAGTGGTGCCTTGTAGCAAGGTGTTCATCTTATGAAGTGGATTCATCAATTAAGCTTCAACATTTAGCTTTGGGAGAAAAAGCTTCTCTGCTAACGCTAGTGCTTACTATGAAAGTAGTTTAAACATATGCTGTAGAAATTTCCAGATTAAGAAATGATTGAGAGAAGAGGACTATGAAGTGTTCATTTTCAATACATTTTGTCACACATGGGAACACATGAAACAGTGGATGCTGAAAAGTGGTAGTAAATGCTATGAACATATTGTATGCAGAGGAAAAAATATAGGCATACAGGCTGATCAGGATATACCCATAAACATTTTATTTCAGTTGAAAAATAAGAAATCAATGTTATACTATAACTAGAGCACAAACAGATTTCCATAAACTTGGATTTGAATGAGTTGCCAATTTAGCAGGGCTTGTGTCTTAAGACAGAACTCCTCTATTAAAGCATTGCAGGAGCACAGCATCTGAAAGGTACACTGTCAAGTACGAGGGGCATTCAAGTCAAACCAGGACTTTTGTGTTTATATAATAAAAGAACAAATTTCAGGGAATGGAAACTGCATTTATTTTTGGACATATTGCCCTGCTACAGTACATTTATACACTTATCCCAGTGTTCAACTAATGCCTGGAAAGCTTCAGCATAAAAAGATTTGTCAGTATGCCTGAACCATCCTAGGACAGCCTGCTTCACTTCGTCATCATTGTGATCATCGCTCCCACAGAAAGATTAATATCTGCAAATAACGACAGGTTATGCGTCGATTATCCAGGATCAGGCATTCCACCCATTGAATGTTCACAGGAATGATTGCTGTGGGCTGGGAAACACCACGGCCAGGTTCATCACTGATAGATGTACAGCCATCTTTGTAACTTTTACATCATTCAAATGTCTTACTATGGTTGAGCATCTCATCATCGTACTGTGCTTGAAGTATTCTATTTATATTCACAGGTTTAATGCCTTAGAAACGTCATGGGCAGCACAGTGGCAAAATGGTTAGCACTTCCTCCTGGCAGTATTAGGGTTGTTGGTTTGAATCTCAACCACGGCACCACCTGCCTGGAGTTTGCATGTACTCCCTGTGCCTGCGTGGGTTTACTCCAGGTACTCTGGTTTTCTCCCACACTCCAAAGACACGCTGGTAGGTTAATTGGATCTTGTCTAATATGGCCCCAGTATGTGTATGTATGAATGTGGGTTAGGGATTTTAGGTTATACGCTCCTTTAGGGTTAGGTACTGATGTGAATGTACAATATATATATATGTGTACCTGTAATAATAATAATAATCACCACATGCTGTTCCATGTACGCACTAACACTGTTGTCTGCCATCTTGATAACAGTCTCTCGACTGGCCCGCAACATGTGCGCCGCCTATCAGTAAAAGGACACACTTGCCACTTACTACTGCGTGTAGTACCACCATGCTAGCATCCCTTTTTATGCCTGTAAAATTAAAAGTCCTGGTTTGACATGAACTCCCTTCATAAAATCAAATATAAGAATTGCTTTACTAGTTCCAACACAAATGTAAAATATCCCATTCCACAAATGTATTATTCAAAATTCCGGTTGCATGTAAAATATGTTTATACCTTTTATGATTTAGTAATTGTAATGTATAGTGCCTACTCCTACAACCATGATAGGGGACCAGTTCTTCTGGTAGAAATTACTGTATATATAGTCAGGTGTATTGTTCAAAGATATATTTAAAACAACCATCTTAGAAGCTTTGAAGAAGTGTGGCTATACATCTCCTGTGGGTCACAGGAGTGCACTTAGTTCTGCACTCCTGTGACTCACATCCAGCCAACAGCAAGCTAAAACCCACTGCTGATGTCACAGAGCAGGTCCAGGCTCAGTAGGGACCCTGACAATAATGTTGGGATTTCACTCATATGCCTGACCAGCAGCTGTCTCAGCCTATCAGCATGCCACTGTGAGACTGAGCAGATCGACCCCATCTGAGCCCAGAATTCCAATTAATCGCTCCGCCCCCCCCGGATGATTTCCTCTATTGCCCGGGGGCACCCATGAGTTGTCAGTCCACCCCTGGTCCCCACACTCTGTTCACTGAAGACCAAAAACTGAGCGATCAGCAGCCTTTGATCACTCAGTTCTTGATCTTAGAAGCTTCAGGGACAGATGCAGCATTAGACAGATGCTTCATTCACCTAGGTAAGTATGATTGTTTGTGTTTCTGTAAACCTGTGCTTCACTTTTACAACATGTCTGGCATATATGGAATATTCTTTTGAAACTTATATCTATAGGTTCGTTAAATCATTTTATAGATATTTAAAGCATAACTAAAGGCAAAACATAAAAAAAAATTTGGATAGAGTAAGGGATGATTATAACTCCTATCAGTTTTTTTGCCATCTGTGTCCCATTGGGGATAGCTCCTTTTACGTCCGGTCCCATAGCCAA